TTCACAACATTGAATTTGGTAATGATTGCTTGTATATGATTCCAAAGAAAGACATAGGCAACAACAGCCAATATACAAATTCTATAAAAAGTTTAAACTTTTGTATATCAAACTATAGTAACAAAAGAGAAAAAAGGCAGTCAACATAATGAGATAAAATATTTGCAAATCATTTATCTGATGAGAGGTTAATATCCTAAATATATAGAGAATTTCTAAACTTCAACATCAAAAACCCAATTGAAACATAGGCAATGAAGATTGGTTGCAGTGGCTCACGTCTACAATCATAGCTACTTGGAAGGCAAAGATTGAGAGGATCATGCCTCAAGGCCAACCCAGGCAAAAGTCCATGAGACTCCGTATCAACCGATAACTGAGCAGGGTAGCACTATATGAAAAGCTGAGATCAGGAGGATAACTGTTCTAGACCAACCTGGGCAAAAAATTCATAAGACCCTCTCTCCACAGAAAAAGCTGAGCATGGTGGCACATGCCTGCCATCCCAGCTTCCAGTGGGAAGCATAAATAGGAGGATCACAATACAGGCCTGTCCAGGACACTATCTCTAAAATAACCAAAGCAAAAAGAGCTGGAGGTGTGGCTTAAGTGGTAGAGCACCTACCTAGCAAGCACCAAGCCCTGAGTTCAAACCCCAGTACCACCAGAAAACAAAACAAAACAAAAGACAATGGACTTCAATAGGCATTCCTCCAAAGAATAGCTAATAAACACACGAACAGATATTCAACATCACTAATCATTAGGGAAATGCAAATCAAAACCACAATGAGATAACACTTCACACCCATTACGATGACTGCTAGTATTAAAACAAAACAGAAAATAACAAGTGTTGATGAAAATATAAAGGAATTAGAAACTTTGTGCACTGTTGGTGGGAATATAAAATGGTACATCATAGCATAGCAGTTCCTCAAAATAATTTAAAAGAATTTTTTCATATGATCTAGCAATTCCCCTCTGGGTATATACCCAAAGAAGTGGAAAGCAGGGTCTTGAAGATCTGTTTGGAAATCCATGTTCACAGCAGCCATTTCACAGTAGCCAAAATGTGGAAGCAACCAACATGTCCATAAATGAATGGATTCTTTACATGTGATATATGTAGACAATGAGTATCATTCAACCTTAAAAAAAATAGTCTAACATGCTGCATCATAGATAAACCTGTTCTATGTTAAACAAGCCAGTCACAAAAAGACACATGGTACATGATTCCACTTATAAGAGGCATAACATAAGGGAGTCACAATCAGAGATAGAAAGTAGAATAGAGGTTGTCAGGGGCTGATGGGAGGGGAGAATGAGAAGTCATTGTTTAATAGGTGTAGCATTTCACTTTTACAAAATAAAGGAGTTCTGGAGATGAATGATGATGATGGTTACACAACAGTATAAATGTTTGTGTGTGTGTGTGTGTGTGTGTGTGAGAGAGAGAGAGAGAGAGAGAGAGAGAGAGATGAGATGCATTGTCCAAACCTCAAGCTTAGAAAATAGGCTAACTTTTTCTTAGTTACCACACTTAGACATGAGAACAGCTTTTCTCCTCTTCTTCTCACATTGTTTGTTGTTGTTTGTTCTGTTTTGTTTTGCAGTATTTGGCTTTAATAGGATTTGAACAAACCAAAGTAAGCAGAAATAGAAGCATATCACATGGTGTTTCAGGAAATAGCTGGAAGCATGGCCACATACATGTTGTCTTCTATAACATTTACAAAGCCACTTGCTTTTAGGACACCATGGGTTTAACATTTAGGGGTCCAAGTGTTCCTTTCTTGACCTTCAAATTTTGCATTTCATGTACTGTCTTAAACCAGAAGCCCAAAGGCTGTGTTTGTTCTTCACTCAAGTCCGTCTAGGCTTCAAATGTGTTCTCTCCAGCTTTTCTAATCACTTGTTCCTTCCCTTCTCTTTCCTCCTCTCAACTCCCCATCTCCCTTCCCCTTCCCTGTTTGTGCAGAGACCTCCTTCCATGGCAGCAAAATAATCGACTCCCCCTCCAAAGTTGGTCATGTCCCAGTTCCCAGAACCTGAAACTATATTATATTACATGGCAAAGGGGAATTCAGGTTGCAGGTAGAATTAAGGTTGCTAATCAGCTGACCTAAAGAGAGAAATGTTATCCTGGGTTATCTGGATGGTCCCAGTGTTGTTACAAGGATCTGTAAGAGAGGAAAGGGATGGGCAGAAGAGGAATCAGAATCACAGGGAGATGTGCTTCAGAGGAAGTCAAAGTGACATGATATGAAGATTCAACTCACCTTTGTTAGCTTTGAAAAAGCTTCTGGAAGCTGAAGAAAAGGAAACTTTCTACTGAGACCCTTTTGAGGCTTCTGATCTCCAGAAGTACAGGATAAATGTTGGTGAAGTCACTAGATTTGTAGTAATATGTTACAAAAGCAATAGAAACAGTATACTACTCAGTCTCCTCAGGACACCATAGTTTTCTCCAGGGAGCATGAAAATGCATTAAGACATAGACTTTCCTGGATAGTCAAGTGAAAATAACAGGACATTTAATCAGTTAATAGCAGGTCTGTTGACTGGTGACAGAGAAACTCTTAATAATGGTGCTGGAAGCAACATGGACATTTCTTTCTCCCTCACATAAAAGATGGACAGTCCACAGCCAGCATGGTGGGTCTCCACACAGTCATTAAGGATGCAGCTCTTTCCTGCTTGCCCTAGAATACTCAAGATGGTCAGCCACAGGAGGAAGGGGAGGCAAGCACACTTCTGCCTGTAATCTCACTGGCCAAAACTTAGTCAGCTAACTTTATCTAGCTGCAAGGGAGGCTGGAGAATGTATCTTTCAGCAGACTATACCCAAGTAAGGTCCAGGGTGCTTGTGATCTCTGTTAAAAAGGGGGAAAAATGTCATTAGTAATGAAGAAGAGAGGAAGGGGTATTGGGAGGCAAATTGTGATCTCTATTTTAAGTTACTGAATAATCTGGTTTAGATTCAAAGTCACAAAAGTAGTGGCCAGACTCCCACACCTCCCTTAGGCCCAAGGAGGATTCCATAATTCTGTGATTGTCTGCATTCTAGTGTGATGAATGTATTCAAGTTTGACAGAAACATTAGCTTCACTGAACCTATAGATCACTGAGCCTATAGATCATGGTTGCTTCCGACTGTGTGTGAAGGAAGGAGTAGGCTATCCTACTAGATGTCAATACTCCATCTTGACCCAATGAAGTACTGCTAGGCTGTTAGAGGTTTGATTGTGGGCATATAATTTCCCTGTGGGGCTGCAATGATTTAGGTCCCTAACCTTGTCAATGAAATTGTGTTTCTTTTTTTTTTTTTTTTGTTTTCACATGCAGTTCTCCTTCCCTTAATCTTCAAGTATATGGAAGTTCAGTTTGGAGATCTTTGTGGCTTCAAAAATCCCTTCAGTCTTCGCTCTCACTGTGTTGTCTCCAAATCCTTTGAAACGAAGTGGAGGGAATAGTTAATTATCTTCCAATTTATGCTGCAAATACTGTGGGGTGGCTCATTTTGCATTGTTCATTATAAAGTAACACTCTCTATGCAGGGACTTTACAAACAATTATACATAATTTTTTCTTTTGTCTTGGAGAATTATATATCAAGAAATAAGTATGAAAGAACATAATTTATAGACTTCTGCACTTGTGGTAATTAATACAAAAATTGTTTCTTGATTTTAGGGAGTAAGTAAAACTATGTATAAATTTTATTGTAGTCATTCTTCCTTCCCAAGGTTTTCTGTGTCCTCTTTCCTTTTGAGACAGGTAACCTGATCCTGGTCCAATTCCAGATAAAGAAGATTTCCCAAAGCTAGCAAAAGTCACAGCTTTTAAAATAACATCTTTAGAACAAGATTCGACTAGTGTTGATGGAAGCAGTGTTTAATGTTCCTCATTCCTCAGGTCATGCACTCTAGTTAAATTGAAGCTCTCAGACATTGCTTCACTATTGGATGTCAGTGACCTCCAGGACCAATTTACACAGATGGTCCTGAAATAGCATTTGACTCCCTTGACATGGAGCAGGATCCAATCAGAATATGGGGGAAATGGGCACTGAAAATAAAATAGGATACTTTTCAAGACAAAGAAATGAGATGATGGGTCAAGAAAGGATTAGAAGAGAAATAAAATTGGGATAGGACTTGTAGGGGTGGGGGCACAGGAGGGGACCAAGATTGGCAAGATATAGCAAAGAGACCTTCTCATGATCTTTGTAGGTGCAGAACTCCACTTGCAAAACACGTATATTCCATTTCCAAAGAGTAAGTCTTTTGTGCTTAATTTAGGAAAACACTAGTAAACTAACTGATGTACTTAACAATTTAGACATGGTACTCCCTCCCCATTGACATCACAGTTGTTCCTGAAAAATTGTGAGCAAAGCAGAGTTTTGAATAGAGCCACATTTCAAGTAGAATGGGAGGAATGGCTCTTCACAGCAATGCTGGATTAAGTGACACTGAAAAAGCCAACCCTCTTGTTCAATGCCTCTGCAGTATAACAGAATGAGGTGGTCACAATTAACTAACAGGGTGGGGCCTGAGCCTATAAGGAGAACATTGAAAGTAGTGTCATAACTATGGAATTTACCATCTGTCCCTCTGCTCACTCCTCCCTCCTCATCCTGTGAAGAAACCTAGCCCAGCATCTGACAGCAGTAACACCTAATAAACTAGAGCAACCACAAGTGTACTAATGCACACCATCACCCTTACTGTTTTGAATTTATTTTATAAATTAAGATAATGTGAATAGCTTGTTTTCTTAATGTGGCAGCACATATTATTCTACCTAATTTGGTAAATGTTCATTTAAACCTCATCTTCTACTCTGCCTGTCAATCAAATGTGGCTCTAAGTGGGATGCAGAAGCCAGACCTGTCTGCAATCAGTGTTTTATGATCCACCAGTTGCAAAAAAATTGCACATTGGGCAGCTCATGGATTCTGATATAGCCTTCCTCTCTGTTTTCTTTCCTAGAGTGTCTGAAAAATCCACCCAGCACTCCAATGGCCAGCAACAACACCGCCAGCATAGCACAAGCCAGGAAGCTGGTAGAGCAGCTTAAGATGGAAGCCAACATCGATAGGATAAAGGTGAGGACAACAGAACCCCAGAAGCTCACCTAGCTTCATTGTAAAAAGCATGAATTGCAGCCATCTGTCGTTAGACTGCTTTCCACAGAGAGGGATGAGATCAGAAATGACAGGAGAGAATCTTCATGATTAGGCTACTGTTTGTTTCTCTAGCGTGTCTTTGCCTTCTGTGGGTCTCTCCAGAATAAAATGATATCATTTATGATATCCAGATATCATTTAATCTGAAGTTAAAGCTGGTTCTCCATGTTGAATTAAAGGCAAACAAAAGAGGCAAAGCAAAAGAAGCAAAACAAAAGTTCATGGCTGAATTCTGACCAAGGGAGGGGGAGAACACATAAGACCCATCAGTCTACTAGGTCACCTCCCTGCCCTTACAGAGAGAAAAATCATTTGGGATTTTCTATCCTTGTTGGGTTCTAAGGTTAAATGTGTATCTTTCATGTCTAACCCTTTTATTCACCATTACAAATTATTTTGTCTTCTTTATACCTCATTAGGTTTTATTTTCTTCAAAACATAAAAGTCACACTTGGTTTCCCTAAGAAGTCAAACAATATAGAGTTTTAAAGCTAATAGTAAGCTTCCTTCTTCTCTTCCTTTCACTTCCTAGACATAACCTGTCAGCTTTGCCGTAAATTAGTGCTAATGCATATTGAACCAAGACTTTAATCCAAACCCTTTGTTGGCAGATTTTGAATGTGACATTGGCCCCCCAGTGTCGTTACGAATAGACAGCTATTATAGGGCGGTAAGATGAATTTTTGTCAGTCATCACAACTTTATGGAAAGGTTTTTTGGACAGGAACTGAGAAATATCTTTCATCGTACTAAAATAAAACTAGAACACTTTTCCATGTGCCTTTTTAAAATTAGTGTATCTTTCCTACTTTCTCCCTCTACACCTTGCTCAGCAACCTGGGTGATCCAGCCAGCCCTGGCAGTATGCAGAAGGCAATAAACTATGGCTCATGAACCAAATCCAACCACTGCCTATTTTTGTACATAAAGTATAACTGGAACACAGTTACACTCACTCATTTACATATTGTCTGTGGCTTTGTTCACACTACATCAGCAGAGTAGAGTTGTAACACAGATGCACATAGCTGAAAAACCTAGAATGTTTACTATCTGGTCCTTGGTCTAGAGCACTGGTTCTTAGCACAATTGCATGTTCACACCACCCAGAGGGTTCTATAAAAGGACCAGTTCTCAAACCAATTAAATTAGAATGTCTTGGGGGGTATGAGCCAGGCATCAGTATTTTTTTTTTTAAATATTCAGTTAATTCCAGTGTATAGCCAAAGTCAAGAACTGCTGTCCCAGGGCAAGGGGTCTGATCCTTCCAGCTGTCATCAGGGATGTCCTGGATAGTGAAGAGAGAGCTCCTCTCCCTCCAGAAATAAGCCAGGCCAAATATCCAGGGACATTTTTCTTTCCTAAACCTCCTTTGTAAAATTTGACTCTTGGGCCATGAGATAATCAGCTCCTGGTCTTTCAACAGCTTTAATTCTTCTTTATTAGTGACTGAGATAAAGAGCCCTTACCATGTGCCTTGCTGCTTTGCAGCTTTTGCTTCTCTTCCTTTTTCTGGCTCCTCTTTTTAATTTCCTTGCTGAAAAAGTACAGTGATAGGTGGGCCTAACTGACTGCTGAAAGAGATGAGGTGGCTCAAGGACTATACTATCAGAAAGGGACATCCAGTTCTTCTGTGGGGGAAGGAGGGCTCTACCAATGAGTCTTCTGGAAAATTCCTCTTTGTCTCTCAGGGTGTCCCAACTGAGATAAAGTTCGTAAAGCTCTTTTGTGTTTGGCATCTTCTGTTACCTTGTGTTTGCCTCTCTGGCACTGTTCCTGAAAGAGAAGGATGAAAACTGACAGGAGGAGGAGGAGAGCTGAAATGTTTCTTTCTGTCCTAGTTCAAGCAGTCATCATCTGTCACCTGAATTACTGACTGCAGGGGGTTCCTACCTGATCTCCACAGTCCCATCTCAACCCATCTCCATCCCTCCTATCAATTTTCTCTCACAATGCTGCCAAAGAAAACTTTCCAAAAGAAAATCTCATGCCAAGTACCAGTGGCTTACACCTGTAATCTTAGCTACTTGACTGAGATAGGGGAGGCTACGGTTCAAGGCCAGCCTAGTCAAACAGTTCATAAGACCCTATCTCCAAAATAGCCAGGGCAAAATGGACTGGAGGTGTGGCTCAAGTGGTAGAGCACCTGCTTTGTGAACGCCTGCTTTGCAAATGTGAAGCCCTGAGTTCAAACCCCAGTCCCACCAAAATAATAATGATAATAATAATAATAAAGAAAATCTCACCATGATTCCCCATCACCTGTACGGTAACATTCAAACTCTTTAGCAGAGTCTATAAAGTTCCTCTGGCCCCTGCCCGTCTCTCCAGTTTTATCCCTTTCCTCTCATCCACACATGATACTGAAGCACCTTAATTCCCTTGATGAGAATGTCAAATACCTAGAACAGTCTCTCGCCTTCATTTCTCTACCTTTCTGTTTAACTAACACTTAACTGCATTGACTCCTTGAAGACCCAGACCAAACATTAGGTCCTTTAAGAAGCTTTCCTAAATTTTACTAAATTTATGGCTAGTTTTTTTTCCTATTTGTTCAGTTACGGATTCATTCATTTATCCAATAGATATTTTATTGAAATTTGTCTGTGTTGCTGGACTTGTTAGCTTCTAGAGTTATAGAGTTAAATAAATACATGATTATTGTTCTCAAAGATCTGTAGTCTAGTAAAAAGTTACAAAAAATATGAACAAGACCTATTATGGACACAAACGAAATATCCAGGAAGCAGAATTACCAAATGACATCGGATTGCCCTTTGAAGAGACACAAATAAATCACTACGAAAAGACCAAGCACTAGCACTGAGCCACTGCCTTCTTCCTAAGCGATCTGCCTAGATGGTCACATCTCTGACCTCACCTTGTTGGAAATACAGCAGTAGCCTGTACTTCAGCATTTGTTTCTCATCTCAGAGCCAGACCCACATGCATGGTGAAGTGACAGATTATTTTTAGTTTAGCTGTTAGATAAAACTGTGATTGTGTTGACACAGTTGTCAGCTAGCTGGCTAGTTAGTTGAGAGCTTGGTTATCTGCCTTGAGGAGTCCCTTCAAGGCCTCTGAGCATCCTGGCTTCTCCACCTACTTTCTTCACGTGATCCCTTCAGCAGGAGGGCGCTTCTTTCTGAAATGCCAAGCTTCTGACTTTCTAGTTAGGTAGTGACCTCTTCAAGCAATAGTTTTGTGTACATCTGGCAGAACCTACTGCAGCTAAATAAGAGGAGATGGGGTTCAGCTGGCACTGGAGCCATTGAGGGTCTCTTAAGCAAGGGAGTGACCTTATCCCTCAGGTGATATCCAGGCTGCTCTGCTGGATCTGAATAACACTTTTGGAGTTTTTTATTATTATTATTCTTTGGCAGTACTAGAGTTTAAACTCAGAGCCTCACACTTGCTAGGTAGGTGTTCTACCACCTGAGCCACTCTGCCAGTCCTTTGTTTTGTTTTTGAACTTTCCTGTTTTCTGTCCCTTTGCATCACAGGTCCTGGGAGATTTGGGCAAATGAAGCCATTATCTGTTCACAAGCCCCAGGCATATATAAATTATACTCTAAGACTTTCCATATTTCTTTGTTAGTATTTCATTCAAGAAAAGAGTTAAGAGAAAGGAAAGGAAAATGGGAAGAGAAACCAAGGGGAGGGGTTGAAGGGTTGTGAACTGCAATGCTTAGATTTATGAAACAACAAAATACACTAATGCTGAAAATGATGAAATAAAAGAAAGTTTGCCCTTATGACACTAGCAGAAGGAACATGTACAAAATTAGAGAATAGCAAGGCTTCAGTAAATATCTTTATTTATTGCTATATTAGGACTCTTTGGGTATCTAATAACAGACCTGAAGGAAGCTAGCTTAAGCAGAAAGAAGTGGTCAATTATAAAAGACACAGAATGTCTGAGAATCCAAGAGCAGAAATGGACTGGGTAAGCAGTGGAAGGAAGAACTGAAGGCCCCTTGGGAATTCTGAATGCTCTATCTCTGCTTCTCTATGTATCTGCTGCTTTCTTTTCCTGGGAAGAATGGATTTCTCAGCTGACTGGTCCATGCAGCAGACACAAGATGGCTGCCCTTGGCTCCTAGTAACACTCCCAGTTCCAGCTGGATGAAGAAAGATTCAGTCGATTCCTTTCTGTCTCAATTCCATAGTTGTAGAGTGACTTGTCTGTTCTAGCAAAAATGAGATGTCTCCAATTTCAATCCACTGACATTAGAATTGAGCCCCATTATATAATCATGGCTCCTAGGTATTAGCCCCCTCATATGGATAGGAAAGGAGCCAGGAACTATTGTAAGCTGGAAAGATGCTTTTTGACAGAAGTTACTGTCAGTATTCAGAAAAAAAAAAAAGTATCTGTAAGAGCAAAAGAAAGTCATAGCTAAGCACATGGATGAAGTGACTGCTTCTTAGCTAATTGGGTATTCTATAAATTGACCCCACTTGAAAATTTCAAACTTCCTCATTTCTCCCAAATATTTCCAACAGACCTTTTCAACTGGTTCTTCTTACTGCTCCACTAATATGTTATAAAAATTCCTACTTCTCTGATTCTTGCCTTTATTTTTTGCCTGTCCAAATCTTATTTCCCTCATTAGGGGTCAGCTCAAATCTCTTCTTGTTCATGAATTTCTTTTTCTATTCTAGCCAAATTTATTAATTAATTTCACCTTCATCAATAAACTTTCCACTGGCAGAGTGGCTCAAATGGTAGAGCACTTGCCTAGCAAACATGATGCCCTCTTTTAAACCCCAGGACTGCCAAAAAATAAATTAACTTTTCCATCTATTTTGCATAGCCCTTAAAATCAAAGGCCATGTTGCCTACTTTGCATGATGCTGGAGAGTAACGTGTTCAGTAAATACTTTCTCTTTAGTAGATACCTTAAAGTTTGTGTATG